CTGCATGCTACCTGCTGGGTACCTGCTGGGTACCTGCTGGCTACCTGCTGGGTACCTGCTGGGTACCAGCTGGCTACCTGCTGGCTACCTGCTGGGTACCTGCATGCTACCTGCTGGGTACCTGCTGGGTACCTGCTGGCTACCTGCTGGCTACCTGCTGGGTACCTGCTGGCTACCTGCTGGGTACCAGCTGGGTACCTGCTGGGTACCAGCTGGCTACCTGCTGGCTACCTGCTGGCTACCTGCTGGGTACCAGCTGGCTACCTGCTGGCTACCTGCTGGGTACCTGCTGGCTGTCACTGCTGTTCCTCAGCTTGGAGGAAAAAATCTGCTTCACCACTCCTCACCTGGTCCCTTCGCTGCACGTCGTTTTGCTCCGCCTCTCTTTCCGCGTGTGGAAGTAGTCCCTGATCATTTACTACAAAGTGTCTGTATTTGGACTGGAACTCGATATATGACTTATCTGCAGTGTTAAATTATTCTGTTCATGCTTCAGCCTTGCCATGATTTAAAGAAGACAATTAAACTCAAAAGTCAGCACAAATATTCATTTTGTGGCTCCCATTGGCCCACTCCCGTATTCCCCCCCCCCATCTGATAACTTTGAAACCCAAGTTCAATCAACACATACTGATCTCATAAAAGTTTCAAATAGTCAACACAATTAATAACAGTAAGTTTTACTTTTTGAAACTCACACAGATGAGTTCAAAATCCAAAACTTGTCAGAGCTCTTTGTGTTAAAGAGAGGAAGTAAGTGGACTTAACTAAACAGAGCTGTCCTGTTTTACAGTGTAAAAGCTCCCTGCACCAAACTCCCTTTAAGAAATATCACATTTTAACAACCGTAACAACACGTAACTCTAGAAACACGAGCTAAAGGCCGTCATATGTCCACAGTCTGACTGTCAATACAGGATCAATATCATCCATAAAGATACAGTGTATACTGATCAATATAATCCATACAGATACAGTGTATACTGATCAATATCATCCATAAAGACACAGTGTATACTGATCAATATCATCCATACAGATACAGTGTGTTCTGATCAATATAATCAATAAAGATACAGTGTATTCTGATCAATATAATCAATAAAGATACAGTGTATTCTGATCAATATAATCAATAAAGATACAGTGTGTTCTGATCAATATAATCAATAAAGATACAGTGTATTCTGATCAATATAATCAATAAAGATACAGTGTATTCCCGTACACAGATTTGTTTAAGTAATATAAAGTGTTTCAGTTGCAAACATTTAAAAATAATGTTTGTTGTTTTTAGGAATATAAAATATCCGACACAGCTGATCAAATGTAAGATTACTAGATTATAAAACCACCACCTGCTCCTGCTGTCCTAAAGTTAACTCCTGGTGTTATTAATGTTCTTCTGTAAAGTAACTAAAGCTGCCACATATATATAATATATATAATATATAATATATATATATATATAATATATAATATAGTGGAGTAGAAGGGTAAAATAATACAATAATAATATAAACATCATGGAAAAGTAGAAAGGTTCAGGCCGTCAGTCGGAGGTCCTTCATGATGTCTGGTGATCTTTGGGAGTCCCGTTGTCGACTCTGTAAACACAGCAGAGCTTCATGTTTACAATAAATCATAATGTTTATCTTCAGGGTCAGAGGTCGAGTAAAGCTCAAAACAGATCACAACTTCATCATCTGTACTGTACTGAGCTGAGACCCTGAACCTATCACTTATAGAGTCATTGAACTCATCGACTACTGAAGGCTGGATAACTACATTTAAAGGAGGAGGAATAGCTAAACAGTTGACAGAGAGCAGAGAGAAGCTACTTTAAGCCCATTTCCACCAATGTGACGGGTAAGTAATTAATTAAAGTGATAAACTTTCTCAAAATATTGATTTAGTTTGTAAAAAATAATGAAAAAGTTAGATTTTATTTCCCCAGGATGGTGAAGGCATTTTTAATGAGTGGAAGGACTAAGAAATAATACTTCACTCAAAATGTTGTTCATTGGTTTATGGACATAATCAATAGATAATCAATCAGGTCGAATGAATAATCACAGTATTAATGTCTCATATTAAATGTGTTAATTATCGGCTACAATTACAAAAACCTTCTGAACTCCGGTGGAGTCTGGAGCGTCTCCGATACCCCAGAAACACCCCAAAGGTGACGATGAGGATGAGGATGAGGATGAGGATGATGGCAACAGTCAGCAGCCAATGTGGAGTGTCTGTTAGTTAGACAGACAGACAGACAGACAGACAGACAGAGAGAGAGAGACAGTTTTTCTATAATTCATCTATTATAATATCTAATCATTCTGCCTGAAATTCACATTAAATCATAAAGCAGTTGGTTTATATATTAATATTTTAACTGAATTCTTCCTTTTTTTTTAATAAATAAACTGGATCAATAAATTACAATTAGTCACTCAGAGACATAATATGACGACCAGGTGGTGTACAAGTATTAAAGTTTTTAATTTATTTGTAATTGAATATTAGAAGATTGAACTTAAATGACACTCACCATCAGAGGGAAGTTCTGGGCAATCTGTAAAGAAACAGTATTGATTTAATATCTCAGAATATTGACTTAATATAAAAAATATTGACTTAATATCTCAGATCAATGATAACAGTTTTTTTTTTAACTGAGCAGCAATCTGTGATCTTCTCACCGCTCTTGAAGATCTCGACCTGCTGAGTTTCGGTCTGCATCGCCAGTTTCACGCCATCTGACAGCGTGCGGCACACGGCGTACACCCTGTCCTCCAGACACACAATGCACTGGGAGTCAGGAGGGGGGGAGGGACAGGGAGAGAGGCCCTGGCTGGTTCTGATCCAGAAGTTATCTTCATCATTGTTCAGGTCAAACAGCAGGGAGGCGTTCACTGCCACTGGATCGGAGGAAGTGTAGCAGTCCATCCTGAGGGATCAGTCCAAAGTCAGAGTGGCGTCAACAAAAGATACAATGGACAGTGACTTTAGGGGGCGTGGCCTCAACAGCGACCGCAGTGATTGACAGACTGACCACGGCAGCGTAGCAGGAACAGTGAGCTGGTAGTCAGAGCTAAAAGAGCTAACAATGTTAATAAGCTACTGTCAGACTCTTTGAACACAGAACTGGAGTTTGTACATTCACGCTGTTTGTACAAGTTTCTGTGTCTAACCTAATCTCTCTCCGGTGTGTGTGTGTGTGTGTGACTGTGGGGGGGCTGTCAGTGTGGATCAAGGTAAAGATCGCAGTCCGGTGCTTCTACAGCGACTCAAGTCCGAACCACTGCGCCACAATATAAACATAGTGATATGTCACTAATCACTAATTACTGAAATTACACGGTAAAATAAATTATTGTACTTTCACAGTAAATTACTGACTAATAATTGTAGTAAGATCACAGCGTTATTTTACAGTAATAAAGATAAAAACCACAGTAATGTGTCATGTTTTCAGATTAAAGTCACAAGCTAATATTGTAATAATAATAATAATCTGTAGTTACAGTAAATTCACAATAATTTACAGTAATATTACAGGTTAACACAAACACACACACGCTACTGTAAAATATATTTATTCCTAAATTACAGATCACACTGTAACCTAATCTCAATAATTAGTAGCCAGTAAATTACAATATGTGCACGACATTAAAAAATTGTAATTAAACTGTATTTTTACAGCATAAGTTTAGAGACTAAAAGTGTTTTTGTATCAGGTTGTAAACATTTATTTTTATTTCTGCTGTGAACTTGAGCATTTTAATATGAGGCCTAATGAAGATTGACTCACTGGAATAAACACGAGGCTCGTTACTAAAACCAAGAAATGAACACAAATATTTCCATTAAACTCACATCCATTAAAACATTAACTAATTCATTAACTAACATTATTTATGTAATGTTTGGTGGTGGAGGCCTCGTGGCCTTCAGAGGCCTCAGTTGCAGCCTGAGAGCCACGTTACTGAAAGCAGCTCATATAACCTTTAAAACCACGTTTCAGGCAGAAAACACAGACAATGCACACAAAAACAGGTCGGTTCCACACGGTTCCAATTAAAATGTTAAATAATTTAAGACATTTTGAAAATAAAAGCGCTTTTAAATTAAATACTTGCACCTCTTTCTTCTCAATTGTGCCCCTCTACACTTTTTAATTCAATAAACCTTCACAGTGGTCCGTTAATAGTGAACAGAAACTGGAACAGAGACAAGTGGCTCCAACAAACACTCAGTACAATAATAAATGAGACAAAGAAAACTATCAACAGTTACCAGCTCAGGGCGAAGTCTCGTGGTCGTAGTCTCGTGGTCGTAGTCTTGCGGTCGGGATTATAAAACCAATCATAAACAACCTATTTTTGAAAACAAAATCAAACTCATAACTCACTCCTATACTCTAAATAGGAAAGCAATCTCTAACGCCTGCACGTATATCAGCCAACTGACTGAGAATGGCGGGAGGCGGGAGGATGTGGCGCCAGACAAGTAAGAAATGACTCATTCATTTTACCCCCCCCCCCACACACACACACACACACGTTAATGATATTTCTGTTTTTGGAGTTAGGTTGTTTTTATGTATTTAAAAAGGTCTGCTAGTGTTGAAAGTAGAGAAGCAGTGCGTTTTCTCTGTACGCGGCAGATTATTGTTCCAACCTCTTCCTGTGTGTGCAGCCACAAACAACATCCTGGTAACAAACGTGGCTGATGTCAAGGTACGGCAAGAAATTCACCCTTAATTCACCCGGCTTCGGCCGCCATGTTGGTGAGGTCGACTGAACCGATTCTCATGGTTTGTTATAAAAGTGAGAGACTGAGTCATCCTGGTCACTGGTAGTAGGAATCAGAAGTCAGTTTAATTACCAACACTTGTTGTTGCTCGTGTCCGTTGTGTTGTGACTGTTTGCTGCAGTAGTGTTGTTGATACCTCTCAGCCACCGTATCATTCAGGGGTAAATGAGGAAGGAATCTGTTCTTTGGGTCGACTTTATTTCAGTGAATAATCTCCCCAAAAAGAGGTTAGAATTGAATATCAATCAAAGATAAAGACAAATAAAGCACAGTGTCCTTTGTAGTAAAACACGCAAAAATACAACATGATGGATCCTGAACTGTCAGGTATCTATAGTAAACGCAGACGGAGGGACGGAGGGACGGAGACGATCCTCCTTCAGTCCGCCTTCAGGGCGAAGAGCACGTCGTCCTGGCTGACGTTGAGCCGGACGCGCTGCAGGACTCCGAGGCGGCTGGGCTCCAGCAGCAGCAACCTGCAGGCTCCCAGACGCTGACACACCGCCAGGCCCTCCGACACGCTGATGGGCTGCAGACCCTCCACCCGACACAGCGCCTGGTGCTGCACAAACACCTGGCAGGCAAAACAGAGGGGGAACAGAGCATTTACTCAGGTTCTGTGCTTAAAGACGAGGGCACGATTAACCCTTTCTGATCCCTCACCTGTTGGAAGGTGGCCTCCTCCAATCCCAGCCGCCGAAACTCAGCGATGACCGCCCGGAGGAAGAGCTGCTCCTGCACCGACGCACACCTGAGGACACACACAGTCTCTTAATCTCACCACCTTTACAGAACCGTCAGCGCTTCAATGTGGCCGAGGCGGGAATCTCACTTGATGGCGGTGATGTAGGCGGAGGAAAACATCTCGTTCAGCGCCTCCATCACGTGACTCATTCCCACCAATCCAGTGGCAGAAGGGTCGGCGGCAGAGTGCTCGCAGATCTCCGTCGCCCGGCGGCAGATGTCCAGACATCGGCGAGCGTCGCCCGACAGAGCGGCCACCTGCGAGAGGAGAGGGAGACTGTGAGGGAACGGTGGAAACGAGGCTGAATCCCTCGGAGAGCGTTTCAGGAGCGGAGCGTCTTTAAAGCGTGTAGCCCGTCATACTTTGTTTACTTGTTTACAAAACTGTGTGTCTGCTTAAAACCCCGACTGACCGACCGACTGACCGACTGACTGGTGCCACAATGTTTATCCAACGTGAAATTATTATTATTTTATTTTGAAAATTGACCGGAGTCAGTTAGTTTCTCCTCCACACTTGGAAAAGGGAAGGTGAACATTTGTGTCACCACCGTTCACACAGGAAGGGGAGGGACTTCACTCGGAGCTCAGATCAGGTGAGAAGGTTGTTTACCTTCCTGGACACCAGCTGGAGAGCGTCCTCCTCGAACGCCTTCACCTTGTTCAGCCTCGACATGATGATCTGCTGCAGCTGCTTGAAGCTGTACGGCTGGAACGACATCCGGGTCAGACCCTGCGGACACAGACGGAGCGTCAGGTTGTGTCCGTTACTCTTCAGGAAGATCGACATTTTTAAAACAACTTAACAACAAGCGAAAAGTCTTGTACTAAAAATGAAGCTGTGTTTTATAGATGTCGCATGAATCAATAATTCGATATTTACACCGAATTGAATGACCCTACACAGAAACACGGTACCACATACGACACCAACCCTCCCTTTAAGGACTCAAAACAAGTTCTTGTGCGTTTGTTTTACAACCCTGTGGATCCCATGAAGCTCCCTCACCAGTCTGCTGGCCACTCTGTTGATCATGATCCTCTCTGGCAGGTCCATGGTGTTGGCGATGGTCAGCACCACGAGGCGAGCGTGACGCCGCGTCGGCCAGTCGAACAGGTTGTACATCACGTTCTGCTTCCTGGTCCACAACAGGTCCAACTGTACGACACAAAGGTTAGTTAGAGGTTAGTCTGGATTATAATGTTAATGGGACAAATACTGACTAACTTATACTCATTAATAATGACTCTTGAATCAGAGTAAAATTAGATATTTTTTGAGTTTCATATTATTTCTGTCTTATTGTTTTGGGCCTGAGAATTGAAAATAAATAATACAATTAAAATAAAAAAGGTTTTATTTTACTGATTTTAAACATTGTCTGATTCTTTTCATTTTTATTTTACATTGTTTTTGGAAAATGTTTATATTTTCGTGGATTTCAGGACTGTGTTGTTTTTAGTATTTTTATGTTTCTTTGTATTTGTTTTTGTCTCCTAACACCTTGAGACCATGTAGGAAATAAAGTGTTTTCACTTTAACTTTTTTGTCGTTTCTTTTCCCGTTTATAATTAAATCTAATCCGATCAGAAACAGAGTTCTTACTTCATCCACCAGCAGGACGGTGGACTCCTTCCTGGGTGCAGGGTTGCTGAATCTCTTCTCCAGCAGAGCTGCTGCGTGGTCGGCGGTGGCCTTCTGACCCGTCAGCTTCTGCAGAGACGAGACACAACACACAGATCAGACATTTATCAGCACGTCCTAACGTTAGTGTGTGTCCTGCACGAAGACACTGTTCACTCCAGAGGTCAGGTCTCTACAGCTGGAACAAACGATGGTCTCAGAGAACCAGTCGTCAGCCTTCGAGCTCTCACCTGCAGGATCTGGACGTAGGCCTGATGAGGATCCGTCATCTTCATCCCGTTGATCTCGATGAAGTGGAACGGAGGGATCTCGTCCACCTCGGCGGCGTGCTGCAGACAGCGCATCACCTCGTGGACCGTGGCTGTCTTACCCGTGCCCGGCACACCTGAGATGTACATACACCTGAAACACAAACAGCAGTCTGAACCATTAAACCAATCACTGGGTTGATGGTGTTTCATTTGGAACCTGCTGGGACCAGAGTCTGGATCTGGATCTTACCCCCGGTGCCGTCTATGATCTTGCTCTCCACGAAGCTGTAGATGTCCTGGAACTCCTGCTCTCTGCAGGGCAGAGACTCCGGCACCGAGGACACGTGCAGCCTGAAGAGACAAATACAAAACAAGAGTTTGAGTTCAGTCTGGAGAGACGGAGATCGGGCCGGATTAATTCTGATTCTAGTTTTTATTCTGTTAAATCTTTAATCTGTAAAATGTCTATAAACTCTAGAGCTATGTTCTATATGTAGTTGATTCAATCAATAATCTATAATCAATAGGCTCATATCCCCTTTGTGCCTGCGTCAGCGTTGTGGTTGTCTGCCAGAAGCTGTCATACATTGACTGTTGATCCAGTCTGAAGCCACATTGTTACCATCCACTGTTTAGATCTTGGTGCTTTTTAACTCTAGATTTGAACCGGATGAAGGATTTTAGTCATCGGACGTCTGGATCTTAAGTTATCAGAGAAACAAGCTGAGCTAACGTTAGCAGCAGCTCGGCTCGCAGCCCCTCCGGGACGTCCTTTGTCTGTCCAACAGCGTGGGAGAAGCAGTGATTGTTAAGGTGGAACTGCTTTATTCAGTGTGTTTAAGGTGGAACTGCTTTATTCAGTGATTTTAACCAGCGGGTCTGTATCAGTCAGTTAGGATTCTTTAGATCAGGGTCAGAGGTCACTGGTTGTTGTGTCTCACCTGGTTCTGGCCTCCTCCAGAACATTAGCAGGCTGTCGGGCCGGCAGCGACCTGCTGGGGATGCTGGGAGTGGCGCGGTGAGGCGTGCGTGGCGTGCGTGGCGTGCTGGGTGTGGTCTGTTGAAACAGGAAACAGACGTGGTGAGAAAACAAACAGATTCTCACAGTTTGGAAGCTTCCAGCTGTTGGACTTCTACCTTCTTGCTGGGAGTTTTCCGCGGCGTTCTGGTGCCGGAGCGAGTTCTCTGCTTTGGTTTAGGAGTCGCAGCATGTCGGCCCTTTTTCAGCACTACTTCCTCGTCACTGTCCAGCTCTCCATCCCCCTCCTCCTCCTCCTCCTCACTGCTGCTCTGCAGCTCCTTCCTGGAGGGAACAAACTCGTCCTCGTCCTCTCCGTCTGAGATCAGGTCTTTGTGGCTGTCCAGAAGGTTCCTGATCAAACAGACTGAGGTTCAGCGCTCCGAAGGTACAGAGTTCATTTGCACTGTGCTCGTGATCCCCTCGCTGTACTCACAGCTGCTTCCTGATGCGAGACGACACCAGCTGGGCTGACTTCCTCTTAGAGCTCCTGGGTGTGGTGGCGGCGTCCGGCAGCATCGGAGAGTTCTCATGATCCACCTCAGCCCTGTTCACATCACACATCATCAGATCAATCAGTCATATTCTAACGGTATCAAATCAACTTCATTTATAAAGCACATTTAAACACAACCAGAGTCCTTCCTGTATTTGACAGGTAGCCGGTGCAGGGATGTACTCTCTTCCTGTCTGGCTGCAGAGTTCTGGTAATAAAGTCACACTGAATTTAAAATCGTGAGATGGGCAGATAAATGTACTCACAGCACTCCGAGCGCCGGTTCCTTCAGGGTTTTGGGTTCCTTTTTCCGAGAAGGAGTGGTGGCTCTGTTTGAAAACAAAGTGACAGTTTGTGTTTACGTCGCTGTGATTACGTCGCTGTGGTTACGTCGCTGTGGTTACGTTGCTGTGGTTACTGAGAGGAAGATGAACCCAAACACATGTGACTGAAACTGCGACAGCGGTTGTGCAGACTCACACCTCAAAGAGTGAAATCACTGTAAACACACAGGTGTAAAAGATCTCGTCTGGTTTTAATCCGACACCACTTCGTGCTCATTATTTCAGCCACCAGGCAGTGTCAGACTCACTTCGACCCCCTGGGGGTAGACTTTAGCCTCGGCGTGGCATTTCTCCTTCTCGGCGTCTTAATCACATCGCCATGCTGCGGACTTTTATCCAGCAGCTCCCTGCAAGAGGCACC